CCTGTTTGATGGAGTATGTAATAGAGTTAATCATCTAAATGTCTAATGATTTTCCTAGTGTAAGAATGCTGAATCATAAAGACACTTTAATTGCGCCTAGCCCTTTTTTCTCTGTATCATAAAACGTTCCTATTGGAGATAATGACTTTGACACTGTCTTTTTTTCTGTCTGCATTTCTATTGCTAATGTAGTATATTTTCAGCAAAGATTACACTCTGTCTAGTTTTCTCAAAATTTCCAATTTCCCTGCTTTTTGGTTAAGCGTTTTTTACAATAAAGCCAGTCTCAATTAATGTGTCTGTGCTGAACCCCAGTTTAAGTAAACGGGATGACTAAATCACAGTCACACCACTTCTGAGCAAAACTGGCAAAAAGAGGGGAGGTAGTTAAGGATCTTGCTGTGCGTGAGCAGTTAGAGGGCAAGGAAGGCACCGTGCACCTTGACCACCTATTATGAAGCTTTTTGCTGCAGTGTCAAGTGAAAGCAAGTTAATTGGGTGAAGCTGTAGAGCATGTTAGGGGCATGGTAAAGGGAGGCCGTCTGACAGCTGAATGTCAGCAAAAGCTGCTCAAGTGTAGCTGAGAGACAGAGACCTGTCACAAAGTTCACGCCGGCTGCAGCGCAGTGAGGGAGCTGAGATGTGGTTCGGTCTCACTTTCTCCCTCATTGCATTCAAGCACCTTAAGATTTCACACTGGATGTGTCAACCCTTGTTCTCTAAGCTGTTTTCCCCTAACCCTTCTGAATTCAAATGATTGGACAAAAAGATGCTAATGTTTGGCAAAGTGAATGTAAATATAGTCTTTCTCCTTCGCTCTCCATCCTCCCTCCCCAGCTTCCACTTTCTGCCAGAGCTTGGATCTGCATCAGGCATGAGCATTTTTGACAAAAATTAGACTGCTGGAAGCTCGGTATATAGATACTCATCTCTGCAAAGGGGTTCTGAGTCTGGCAATTAACCATGTTGACTAATCAAGGAGTTTTATTGTTGTTGTTTGTGTAGAAAACCTTTTCCTGTACAGGGAATTCAAGAGCTAGCCGATTGCAGAGGTTGTGCAAACATGTCACTGCAGCCGCTCACGGAGTCTATTTTTAATTTCCTTGTAATTGGTTCTTTCTCCTGCACCCAAACATGGTGCTCCTCCAGCATATAAAGAGAAACTTGCAATTGAAAAAAAAAACAGATGCCTATAAAACTGAATAGTAGAAAGGCTCTGGGATTGTGCTCTTGCTGGATTTGGATGTTTGCATGATTTAGGAACTGCTTTACTTGGCCCAAAAAAGGGCTTTGATGTTAACACAAAAGGGGTGCTTCTACTGTGTAACTGAAACCGAAAATGTAGAAAAAGAGAGGAAAAGGACATTGTCATCCTTAATGCTGAGAATTGTTATTTGTTAGACTGAATACTGGTAACAGAGTACATACCTGAGATGCTTCACAGTGGGCTTTTAGTAATTGTGTCACATTGCATAATGAAGACTAGCATGAGTGTTGGAATAGGATCCTGGGAGGCCAGAGTTCAAATCCCTGCTCAGACATGGAAATCCAATGGGTGACCTTAAGCAAGTTGCCCTCACTCAGCCTGAGAGCAAGGCAATGTCAATTCCACTTTGAACAATTCTTACCAAGAAAACCCCATGAAGCAGTTGCCATAAGTCAGAGTCGACTTGAAGAATCACAACAACATGATGCACAAACCTTCTGAGGATATTTGCAATATGCATGGCCATAGCAATGCTGTGTAGGACAATTTCTCTACTGACTTAACCTGACACTGATAGTATTGTGGATCTGGCTTTTGGTATGTTTGTCTACAAACTGCAAAAACCTTTAGAATGCTGAAGGCAAGAGGAAATGTGGGGTGGAGGAGCTTGTTGCAGAATAACCTGTCAGGGTTCTTCTGCAGATATCCTGTATTTCACAGCTCATAAACTTAACTTGACTTGGGTGTATGGACACTACTCATGGTAGAATATGTTTATTTTATTTATATACCTTTGTGCATGTGATGCAAGAGGACAATGCACCCTGAGAATATAGTTCACAGAAATAATAACTTCAGTGAACTTAGTGGTATTAGAAGATTTGGGCTGAAATTGTGCATCAGAGATGTAACTACAACTACAGAGCTGCAGTGTTGTCGCTATGTCTTCCGATACAATCTTACTTCAAGGCCACCTTGGAAGCCAAGCGGCACCACCTTCACAGGGATTTCAGAGGTTCCAGGGAGTGGGACAGTGGGTGAAGAAATGTCCATCCTTTCTCCCAGTAATGAAGCACTTTCCAACAGCAAATAACTACTTGTTAACAAGTACCTTGCTGCTAGAAGAGAAGTAGATGTTAATTCACTCACCAAGCTACTCCAGTGCTTGGAGGTCCCTATGTTGGTGGTAGTGTCTTGGTTCTAAGGTAGGGTGTGGGGCCTGGTAAAAGCCCTTTTCCAAGCTAGATATTGTTCCAAAACAAAGAAGTATGCTGGGACTTGTAGTTCTGAAACACGATCTCAGATTTTTTTTTAAAGAACATACCTAATAATGTAAGAACTACAAATTCCTGACCAGAGAAGCCTGGAAAAAAGTACCTTGTCAGTAAATACAGTTACTTCAATGAAAGTTTATTTATGTTCCAGAGACGTAACTCTTTTTGAAATAATTGTCCAACTCGTTTTGAAATAACTGCCCCAACTCGTTCACAGTTATTGTCATTTTAGCTGTTGTTGCCACACATGATCTGAAGGGTGCCAGTTTGATAGTGGGTCAAATAGGGATGCTACAAGATAAGTAGAGCAATGAATCTGTTCTGTGGTTTAGTCCAATTTCAAAGGTTCTGGAAATGAAACATACAGTCAGGGCCCTGGATGGCTACTTAAAGTTCAGGTTAAAGTAAAACATGGATTTACTATCCCACTGACATTCCACTAGCATGGATTTTATCTCTACTGAAGGAATAATATGATGAACTGTACAGGGACATGCATTTAGAGTCACTGACCATGTTCTTTTGCTTTTCTTGAATTTACGCTACACTTGTGTGAAAGTTGCTTTCAGTGTTAAAAAAGGAGTCCATGTTCAAAACGGTCTGGATTACCAGCAGCAAAAGCTTTTCCTACTGCTGTGACCATCTGATTTCCATTCCATTTGTTGGATGTTATTCCACCCTCGCCTTCCTGTGAGGTGCAGCCTGGGCCGGAGCAATGAAAGAGACCCGATCCTGCCCCCCTCCCTTTCCCACCACTTCGGTCAAACACTGAAGCCTTTTCCTGTAACAGTCTATTGACTAGCTGCCAATCATTAAGTTTCATACTTTTTTCATGCAACTCTCCAAGGAAACCAGATTTTTCACCCCCTTTCTTGGGCTTTTGCAGTTGTTTTTCTGAAGAGGTGGCTGCATTTTGATGAAAATGAAATGTTGGACAACACTGATGTCTTTTCACCAGAATGCTAAGGCATATTAATTCAGGCAGGAAAGATCTTATAAAAAAATACTGTAAAGCGATTTCTTCTTTGCACAGCACTGTTGTCACGACTGCATGTTAGTGAGGCAAGGATTTGTTTTGTTTTTGTTTTGTAGCACAAAAATGCTGGCAGGGGTGTATTTTTTCCTCCGATATTATATGCATATACTTGGATTGTTTAAACTTTCACTTAGATATGTAAAACCCTTAAAATCAATGGGGTTATTAAAGAATACAACAAAGTATTGTTATTGCCTGGGCTAGAAGACACTGTGTGTAACAGGGCTAACGAAAATCCAATAGCGCTGAAGATTACAAGTTCATGTTCTACTCTGTAGCTCGTCTTCACAATCCAAAACCTTTGTAGAATTGAAGTATGACTACTTTTTAAATATCTCTTTGGGGTAACCATTTGAACTTGCTTCCATATTGGTGGTTCTTAAAGGTCCATCTTTTCAGCCAAGCTACAAGACAGCTTGTGTTGTATCAAGAAATCAAAGAGGCAACATCAAAGAAAATCACTGAACTAGGTGTTAGATGCAGCCATTGATTTTTTTTCCTCCCCAGTAGCAGTAATGGGAATGGAGAAGGCGAAGCGAGGAGCTCTCAAAAAACCTGAAGCACACAGTAGCAGAATTCCAAATAATCCCTTACAGCAATTTTTACTCTGTTCCTGAGTCCCATATTTGGTACCTTAAAGAGTTCACCCAATGCATATAATGGCATGTTGATGCTAGGGGTTAAAGTAGTACTATTGTGTGTATAGTGAAGGATATTTTAAGTAAAGTTGTTTTGATAGCATTTTTAGTAGTGGCAGCATGCTCTGTGTGTCTCTCCCTGTGGGATGAAAAATATGTTTTAAATTTACAGAATTTTACTATGCATTGTTTAGGCAGCCTTGGTATTTAATTTGGAACAACCTGCTAGATTTCTAGGTATTGTTACACGGGAGTTATATTTCCAAGTAATATATCTTAAGCCATTTCTTCTGCAGCAGTTTGCGGTTCTGATGGAAAGGTAGTTACTAATCCTGCTGAATATCTTCCATTGAGTATGTGATACTACCTATTCCAAACTAGGAAATAGCTAAAGATTAGGGAGAGGTAGAATTCCTCCCTCCATGTGCCTTTATTATTTATTAGATTTCATTATTTATTACTATAATAAGCTTGTAACAGAAAGGAGCATATGCTTTTTAATACTATTTGTAGGATTTACTTTAACCTCCAAGAAATCAGGTAGGATGTTATTGTAGTCTTTTATGCGAAAAGCTTTTCCCACTGGGTTAACATGTAAAAAATTAGAAAGTATATTAATAAAAAGTATCACATTTACATATACTTATTTTCTGAAGTCGCTGTTAATGGATGTAGTCCATAAACAAACATGGCATGCTGAAGTACTGCTGAATTTAATGGGACTTATAACCTGCTGTTGCTAACTTCTTCGACATACTAGAAATTATTTCTGTTATTTTTATTAATTGACTCAAGGCTAACGTGAATGTACTTTGTTTTCTTTGCTTCCTCTGTATTTTTTCTAGGAGTCACGCAATACTTCAAGCATCCCTGCAGCTTCAAAATCGTTACTCCAGATCAACCAGAATTACGTCCCAGATTTTTTGCCGCTGAAGGGAGAGTCGGATTATGATACCGCTTTTGGCTTGGTGCACAATAGACCCCAGTCTCAAACTTCCTTATCCTGTTCCTCCGCTCTTCATATCACTCCCAGCAGTAGCAAATGAGCAACGCAAAATGAATACTGACTTTCATTTTTTTTATGTAAGGAATTTTCAAAAAACAGATTAAAATCCTCTTTTATTAGGAAGTTTCAGTTCAGTCTCTATGCATTTCTGTGGCTTTAATTTTGCATTATTTTCTGCCTGGAGGGGGAAAGGAGGGGGAGTTTTGTTCATACGTGCCTGTATTTTGCCCTCCCAGAGTAGTGAAGCAGTCCATTAAAAGAAAAGTTTTATTTATCATAGTAGCTCATTTTTATGTAATATATTTTTAAATGTTAAAGAATGACACATTTTGGGTAATTTTCCTCTGACTTAAAAAAAATCAATAAGCCATTTTAGTCTCTATCTATCAAAGTTGTTTCATACTTGTCTGTTTTAAAACAGGTCTGCAATACTTTAATAGGATTGAGAGAGCTATTTGAAATGTATGCCAATGATTCCTGTCATTTCATGGCAGCCCCGCCATGGTTCACTGAGCCCCCTCTTCTCTCTTGTCAGCTCAACTGAAGACAAGCATTTAGTTGCAAACTTTAAGCAGGTTGTGCAAAACAGAAATGATGTGACTGCTTCTCCTCCTGCACAATAATGTCACTCCTGGTCAATGTGAGAAGGTCAGGTTGCTCCTTGTAAAGCTACATGATACCACTTTGCCCATTTGAACAAGTTAAGTTAAGTGTGGAATCCGGTCCCTGCAGGCAGCGCAAACTCATCCGTTTATCAAGCCTGCCGTTTGATAAGGAAGGGGAAACAATTGCGCAAGGAAGATTTTCAGATGATATGTTTATGTACTTTTATAAGGGCAGTTCCCAGACCAGGGTTACAGGTAATAAATTTAGTTTCCGCAGCCAGCAAGGCTTTAAAGTAATGGCTGTTTTGACCTTCAAAATAGGCTTCTTTGTGTTGTTGTTGTTGTGGGTAGGACCCAAGAGTGACGCCCATCTTTGATGCTGACAGAATTTAAAGCAAGGCCATTGCCCTGCATTTTCTGCCTTGTAGCACACAAAAGTAAAATTGTATGTCAGGCCGAGATGTCGGGGAGCTGACAAGATGCCCCAGTGACATTTCAGCTGGAAAGAGCAAGTGTCTTGCAACCAAGTGGTCAAATATCAAATAATAGGTCAAGCAGGAAGGAGCTGAGTTCTAACCACAAAGAGGTTTCTGGTAACTTACTTGACAAGCTTTTGGGCGCTTTGTGGCTTGACAAAGTGATGTTCTGTTGGGTATCGCTAGACAGACTGTTCTTTATCGCCTTCAGAAGATCAGACATTGACATTGATTAAACTCTTTAACCCTTAAAGGTTAAATCCTGGCTGTACGGTCATTGTGAGTAAAGAACAAAAGGAAAATTTGTAATATATACCATTTGTTATGGTATTAATCACCCCAACTCCCCAGTGCCATTAACATTTGATGTGTGATGTAGTTTTTGACAGCGATATTGAATGCAAAATCTATAAGTTAGATTGCTTCTCATTATGGATCAGGGATACATTAGAAAAATAACATTTTGCTTTATGGAATTTATAATGTCTTGTGCTTTGATAAGAGCGGTATTTGATTCCTTGGGTCTTGACTACTCATACTTCTCTTTGTTCTTTTGCCCTAGAAGATAAAAAATTTGCATATGTAATATACCTACCACTATAAAATCATGCAAATCTTGAGGAAAATGTACTCCAAAGCCACTCTTTAGGACTTTGAAAATTTTTCAAGTACTTTTTATTCCTAGTTTACAAAAGTGGCTGCACATGTCCAATTGCAACTGTACTCATTTAGAAATGTAAGTAGCAAAAGAAAAAGCCCCAACCCTAAAAGTGAAGTTTCTTTTCACAGCATGTTTTCTGTAGACTATTTTGGATAAAGATGCCATGTAAAGGGAATTTGTTTCTTTTTCCTAGTATTAATCCTTGCGGCCACAAAAGAAAAAGAAAAATGAATATTGTACGTTAATTTCAAACATGTATCAGTTCTCTTATGCACATGTAACAGCTTGCTTTGTTTTGTGTTGTACCCCTTTTAAAAATAATACATACAAGCAAAATGTCTAGTTTGATCAATATCATTGGTAAGAATTTTATCATATGGCCAGAATTTTATTTGTGCATATAGTTTGCATATACCAAAAACATGATGATACTCCAGAAAATAATGTCCAAATGCTTACCCGAGGGAAGGATATTAGAGGCAAACATAATGAGAATTATGCCACATAATGTGAAGACGGGAAAGCTTGGAGAAGATAATGATGCTGGGGGAAATGGAAGGAAAAACGAAGAGGGGCTGACCAAGGACAAGATGGATGGATGTTATCCTTGAAGTGACTGGCTTGACCCTAAAGGAACTGGGGGTGGCCACGGCTGACAGGAAGCTCTGGCGTGGGCTGGTCCATGAGGTTATGAATAGTCGGAACGACTGAAGGAATAAACAACAATAACAAATAAGCCAGATGTCTAGTTTGTTATCCTTGAAGTGACTGGCTTGACCTTGAAGGAGCTGGGGGTGGCCACGGCCAACAGGGAGCTCTGGCGTGGGCTTGTCTATGAAGTCATGAAGAGTCGGAGGCGATTGAACAAATAAACAATAAATAAGCCAGATGTCTAGTTTGATCAATATCATTGGTGAGAATTTATCATATGGCCAGAATTTTGTCTGAGCATATAGTTTGCATATACCAAAACCATGATAAAGGTCAATTGTAAAATCTACATGCTATCAGTAAACCACTTACTTTCTAATCAATGTCACAATGGCTTTAGCATTTTTGTCTTCAGAAAAACAGAGTGATTCAGTCTTATATTGTGAAAGAACTGCAAGTCGGTTGTGAAAATGGTGCGTTGGACTCACCTTTTGTTAATCATGAGGTTCAATATTTTATACAAAAAAGAAAAAGTCAGGTGTGAATTCTCTGGAAAGATTAGATAGAAACCGAGGACCCTGAAGGAGACATTGGCTATGCTTTGTTAAAGCTTTATCGTGGAGAAGGTACTAGAGCAGCCATCATGGATCATTATATTACTCTATTTGCCAAGGAAATAGAATATTGTCAGGGTCGAGCTCATCCAATAGTCCTACTCTGTGGTTTTCTCAGCAGTGTTTTTTTAACCAAATTATGGATGAGTGAATATAGTTTGGGAGTCTAGTCTTCCTTGCTGACACTGGATATGCATGTGAAATACATCTACAGTGAGTGAATCTAGTATATGCCTTCAGTCTTTTTGTGGTATTATCTTGCTCGTGCACATTTGAATTAGAATTTACTCTGTTTTGACTTTTTCGGTGACAGGCTTTACTAGCTAGATAACCACAGTTTAATTATTGGTCTAACATATCATGAGTCAATGTGTCATTTATTGCAATTCATGTAAGGGTATGGCAACGATTAACATTTATGCAGTTATCCACAGTTTTCTAATCATGTGATTAGTAATCACTGCTAATAATTGATCCAAAAACAAATATGAGAGGATACAACGGATAGTAACCTCACAAATAAATGTATAGGCAGTTCCCAAGTTATGAAAAAGATAGGGTATATTTCTCTCATATCCTGTTGTCTCACTCCCATTTGTAACTACAGGCAGGTCCCCAAGTTACAAACATCTGACTTACAAACAATGGATAGTTAAGAAAAGGTTTTTTTATTTGTTTATTTATTTATTGTGTCAGAAGCAAGTTGAGAATACAGTTATAATGTATAAGAAAACCACAAACAAAGTTAAAAACTTGGCATTATGCTAAATTTCCACTTGGAGTGCCACTGGTGTCACTGTAAGAACATCCTGCATTACGCATGTTGCGGACTCAGACTGCATAGTAAGTGGGCTATGGTTTGCTCTTCTCCACACTCGCATGTCGTGGACTCCACTTTGAAGCCCCATTTCTTAAGATTGGCTCTGCATCTCGTGGTGCCAGAGAACAGTCTGTTCAGCACCTTAGGAGAGAGTTTCTTATCCGGTATCAGCTACTGATTGAGGTTCTGGGTTTTTGCCTGCCACTTTTGGACTCTTGCTTGCTGAGGTGTTCCTGTGAATATGTCTGTAGATCTCAGGGATGCGACAGCAGGAAGTGAGAGAAATCTACTCTTCACAAGGGAAATTCACTCCTGGAAAAGTTATGATGGGAAAACGTGTCTCCACTGAAGCTGTATCACCAATCTTTGTTACCACAGCAAGCCAAATGTTTCAAAATCCAATTTTCACAAGGACAGAAAGTGAGGTGAAATCTTCTAAACGGGGGCACAGGCAGCAAAACAAACACCACAGGGGCCTTAACCCTTCACTATTCTATTTTATGTTTAGAGTTACACTTAGCTGTTCCAACTTATATAAAAATTCAACTTAAGAACAAACCTACAGAAGCGATCTTGTTTGTAACTTGGGGACTGCCTGCATTTGCTTAATTTCCTCAAAATCAAGCACACTCAAAAGTTTTAAATTGCCACCCTCTGGAAATTAGTACTTTCTATTAATGTTCTTAAGCATTTCACATATTTTTTTAATTGTAGATTTAGACTAACACAAAACAATAACAACAATAAAATTGAGAATATTTTAAAATAGTAAATACTTAATAAGACTCCAGATAATCAGATACTTGTTGTTTTGGGCATGAGTCTGTGATGACTAGACGGCGTATATGCCAGACATCAGGAACTGTTTTAGACCTAGCTGGCTCCTTTGCCACTTTCAATGGATATGTGCATAAGTCCGTTATTATGACAAGTCGTGGGTGTTTAAACCACATGGACCTTTTCAATTGGATACAAACTTAATTTTTGCTGTTTTGCAGCAGATGGAAAATCTAGGCTTAGTGCAAAGTGTCCCATAAACTTGCTAGGAAAATCCCTTAAGATTGTGGGTGCTAGAATCATGTCTCTGTTTTGTCTTGTAACTGTTATTAAGCCCTTTAAACATCCCCAAGCCCCTCACCTTATATGAGGTTAAAACACAGCATATCTATGACATTGCCCATTTCTTGAGATGATGCAGACGTTCAAACATTTTCGAGCTTTAGCTCCTAGTATTCATCACTACTGACTAGATTGACTGGGGCTGCTGGGAGATATAGTTCAACAACATTACGGTGATGGTCAAATTCCCACTTGATTTATAGGAATTCATCTTGACTATTTTTGTGTGTTCTTTGGAATAATGTTATTAAACTAGTGAATTAAGCTATGCTGTTATGAGTTGCTTTTGTATAGTGCAACTAGTTTTAACATAGAGCGCCTTGGTGGGTGCAGCAGATTAAACCACTGAGCTGCTGAACTTGCTGACCAAAAGGTTGGCGGTTTGAATCCTGTTAGCCCCACTGTTAGCCCCAGCTTCTGCCAACCTAGCAGTTCAAAAACATGTAAATGTGAGCTTCTGCAGGAAGATAACGGCACTCCATACAGTCATGCTGGCCACATGATCTTGGAGGTGTCTATGGACAATGCTGGCTCTTCAACTTTGAAATGGAGATGAGCACCACTCCCCAGAGTCAGACATGACTACACTTAATGTCAGGAGAAACTGTTACCTTTAGCTTTAACATTTACGGGCCAAGAACAATGGATTTCTAAGTTCTTAGCAATTAGATTCACAGAGAGGAGAAAAAATTATTGCATTGGTAGAAATCTTACCATGGATACTGATAAAAACTCTGTATTCTCAGTGTTAGTAATTATCTGGTGAACACAGGTTGTGATGGCATTATCAGCACAATTTCTTACCTATCTCTCTGTAAAATATCATACAAAACCAATACACAATCAGTACATATTTTGATAACATAAGCGTTCATAGAGTGAGAGCGCAACACCCATGATCCCACAGCATTGAGCCATGGCAGTTAAAGTAGAGTCCAATTGCATTCATTCCATAGTGGTTCTCAACCTGTGGGTTCCCAGATATTTTGGCCTACAACTTCCAGAAATCCCAGCCAGTTTTCCAGCTGTTAGGATTTCTGAGAGTTGAAGGCCAAAACATCTGGGAAGCCACAGGTTGAGAACCACTGGTGTAGATATATCCTAAGTGTGCTTCCTCAAAATGTTTATGGTCCCAACTTTATTCTCTTATTTAGTCTGTAGAGTGCTAATCTAGATCCCCTTTACATACTGATTTTCTACATCAATATGGCTTTGTTTTTGAATTCAATACAAACTTTAATATTCTTAATTTAAACATCTGGATAAGTGTGCTGGAATCATCTGGTCTTCACTGCTATCTTAACCATAATGAGCAGCTAATGAAGCTCCTTTGGCAGGTCATTCCATAATCTGGGGGTGGCAAATAAAAATGTCTCCAGAGTAAAAGGTGTTACTCAGTGCCCCAGAGAACCTGAGTGTATGGGTTATATATGAGGAGATCCTGTTGGTAACTGGAACCCAAAGCATATCTGATGACTAATGCCCAAAAAGAATAGTCTGGTTGGGTTTATTTATATGATCCTAGATCCAAAGTACTCATGAGCATAAACTCAGTTCATGAGACATACCACCAGGAAATGGGAGGCAATTTGTACTCCTCCCCATTATATGATCTGGAAGAAAATAACATGCTCAAAGAGCACGGGAAGTGGACTGGGGTACAGTGGAAATTGCTTCCTTTCCCCACATTTCCCCAGTAGGAATTCCTTGTGAATCTAAATTCTTTCTGTAAATAGAAGGAGTTGGTTTTTCAGTTCTGGATCCATATGCCTTTTTTGCCTTTATGGCTTTCTGGTTATTTACATAGGGATTTACTGTTAAGTCTTGCTTCTGGAGGTTTTGTGCTTTGTTGCCACTTTGGTGTTTTGAAAAATGAATAACCATTAACCAAACTTATATATAATAATGATTTTATTTTGTGAGGCAGACTTGAACCACTTTAACGTCCAGGTCCTTGAAGGTTAGACTGAAAGACACCTTCTTTTTGTTGTTTCAAGATTTTTTCTTAACCAATTATTCATTATTGTATACCACAATTTTACTGTCTTGGGTCAGCTTACACAGCTGATCCTAATATGTCAGTTGAACAGCATATTGTAGTCATTAACAATCTCCATACATTCAGTGTCAGTCTTTGTGACATTGAGTTGGATGGAAGTATTCATCCGATTTTTGCCAAGAGAATTCTAGCGTATTTAAAAATGATTGTGACAGCAGAGTAACTTATATATTCTGTCATCAAAAAAGTCCTGTATGTAAGAATCACATAAGAAGAAACAGAACAGATTTGGAAACACCTCTTAAAATTTTTGTTCAAGTGGACAACTTTTTATTCCATAGTTTATTTACTCATGTTTACCTTTTCCCTTGCAACTCATCTATTGAATATAAAAAGTATGGTTTTAAAATATAAAAATTTATAAAAAAACCAGAACATATCTTGATTGGCTATGCATACCACTCCATTAAAAGAACAAATATTGTAACAGCAGATACTGTATGCTAAATGAAGAGGAATCCTTTTAGAATATTTTTACATCTTTGCTAAAGCATTTTGGCATAAACAACAGAAACAAATTTTCTTAAAATGTACTTTGCTGTACTGCACTGCCAGCATGGTGTAATGGTTTGATGACAACCCTGGAGGCCAAACTTTGAATCCCTGGGCAGCCATGGAAACCCACTGGCTGGCCTTAGGCAAGTCATACTCTTTCAGCCTCAGAGAAAGACAAGAACAAATCTTGCTAAACAAACCCTGTGATAGGTTCATATTGTACTTTACATAAGTCAGAAAAGACTTAAGGCATGCAACAGCTGGTGACATTGCATA